TATCACTTAAGGGCGTAGGGACCTAGCATTGAGTGCCTACAGTCTGCCCTATGATATTTGATGCTTTAGGTACATAATGCATTTCATCCTTATAACAGTACTGCAAGGAAGAGATAATAAAAAATAAAACAGTATTAAGTAGTAATATAATGATAATAGCAGCTATACTTACTGAGTATTTACTATGGGATAGATATTGTACTAAATACTTTATGTACATTTCTGGTACTATTTTCATCCCCATTTTACAGATCAGTAAGTGGAGGCTCAGCAATGTTAAATGAGATTTCTCAAGGTCACAGAGCTAGTAAGTAGCAAAGCTTGATACTTTATCTTATAGATATTTCATTTTGTATCATTAAGAAGAGATACTAGAGGCTGGGCAATGTGGCTCATGCCTGTAATCCCAGCACTTTGGGAGGCCGAGGTGGGAGGATTGCTTGAACCCAGGAGTTTTAGACCAGCCTAGGCAACATAGCAAGACGCTCTCTCTACAAAAAAATTTTAAAAAAATTAGTTGGGTGTGGTGGCGCCTGCCTGTAGCCCTAGCTACTCTGGGGGCTGAGGCAGGAGGATTGCTTGAGCCCAGGAGCACCACTGCACTCTAGCCGGGGCGACAGAGTGAGACCCTGTCTCTAATAAAAAAAAAAAAAAAAAAAAAAGAAGAAGAAGGAATATTGGAAATGTTGAAGGAATGTTAGGAAATGTTCAAGAACATTGGGAATGATCTATTTCCAAGACTCGTGATCGCAGGGCCTCTGTGGTCAGCAAATAGTCGCAAAGGGAGTCTGCCGTATCCATCTGACTTGGAAGAAGAAAACACTGATAGGACAGTGAGTTCTTTGGCTTCCTCATCCAGGCCGTGCGTGTCAGTGCTCTCGTCCCCTCCTGCTTGGACAGTAGCTCTGTCCCGAGGCAGTTAAGTTGTTGGAAGGGCCATGTTCAGCCAGAGATCACAGATGTGTCAGGAGGCCCAGTGTCCAGTAACTGGCTTCTCCGCTGCCGCAGACTCTACCGGGTGCCGCTGTTTGCCGTCTGCCCGTGCCCGTCCTCAGCTCTGCCTCTCTGCGTTTCCTTGGCAGGCGCTGAAAGTCCTGGTCACACACCTAGCATCAGGCTTCCTCGATTTTGTGGCTGGAATTTGCGAGTGTAAAGGGGTCCTGTACTGTTTGTTTCTGAGGCACAGTTTCAAAAGAAAATGGCATTTCATAGCCTGCATTAATGGGAAATTACTTTCCATTAGGATTCTGAATGATTTGCACATAATGTTTATAAAGTGAAGGAAAAATGTCAAGCATTTCACTAACAATTTAAAGCAAAGCTCACAAGCCTCTGCCAGAAATGAATTCCAAGAACATTTTCTTCATCATTTCTTCTTTCTAAAGAGGAAAAGGGGAGAGAGATGAAACAACGCAGGTCAGTTAGGCAGACTGCGTCGTGGGACCGAGATGGGATCCGTGATAATCTCCGAGGTGGTTGAGAGAATGAATCGAGCGCGCCAGCGGTGGAGGAGGGGAGAATCCCCTCTCGAAAGGACGATTGCAGACAGGTCCGACTTCGGCCTGGCTGGGGACGGCAGCTGCCTGCCCAGGCCTGTGAGTGGGGTCCCGCTGCTTCATCAGCATAAGCTGCCCCTCTGTCTCCAGAGGGAAGAAGAAGCCACGAAAGTCTCTGAGCTGCAATGTGTGCCTGGGTAGCTCCCAGAAAGCTGTTGGCCTTGAAGGAAATAGTGTAGAACTTGTGCTCTGTGCACAAGTGTCTTCCCCACGCTCTGGGGATTGTCAGGCCCCAAGTTGTCACTTAACTGAATTAAAAATTAAAAAACTAGAAGACAGTATATTTTACATTTTTTTATCGACTCATTTTTTAATGAGGATTTTTTTTTAATTTCGCTGAGATTCTTTAAGATGGTGCCACTTTCTCTAACGCTACTAGCTAAGGGTTAACACGCTCCAAACCGGAGTCTGCTTTACAGACGCAGGAGCCTGAGGTTAGTTAGCAAATGTGCTTCCAAGTGTGTGCTAGGACGCGTCAGAGCGAGGTGAAATAAATCTCCCGAACGGCTTGTATTAAGACGTCCTGACTCTCTTTAGGTATAAAAGAGACTTTTATAAATTTCTTGACCCTTTCTGAGGCAGCTCGGAAATAATTTCTAGGGCCTAAGTCACTGCCCTCCTTGGAGCAGGATCTCCAGGATTACGTTAGAAAATAAACATTTATTCCAAAGTGAAATGTGAAGTCTGAAAATTAAAGAAGACGAGCTTTACCAAGTAGGAGTATGTGCATTTTTAATCTAAATTTCCTCAGAGGAAATTAAAATTTCACAGAGCAGCGACGATGGCGATTGCTTAGTCGGCAGGTTGTTCCTTTGGGTTTTCTTCTTTCCTCCCCACTTTTCTTCTGTTTCCTGCCCCCCCACCAGCCTTCCCCGAGATCCGTTTCCGTATATCGTCCAGAGTGCTTCAGAGTCAGGGGTAGTGACAAGGGAGAAATAAACAAGAAAAGAACAGTCCCGTGTTGTGGTTCAGATTCTGGCACTCCTTAGCTGTGTCACTTTGGGTGAGTTTCTTAACATCTCTGGACCGATTTGAACTTGTTCCTAAATGAAGGGGTTGGACTTAATACATTGCAAGGTACTTTCTAGCTCTAAATTCTATGGCTGCAATGTTTATCTTTTATGAGTATTTAGCATTCTTAATAATTTGAAAGTGGACAGGTTGAACATTTATATTTTCTGTATTTTAAAATTTTTTTTAAAAAAATTAAAGTGTAAACTATGATTATTATTGTTGATCAGTAGCCATTGATGAGGGAAGAGGGAAGAGTCCTCTTATTTTCCAATTTGAGGGAAGCTTTGGATGGGAAGGTTTTCTCACTGCAGGGGACGGTTTCCTGTAATTCTTCTAAATAGTCTGTAAAAAGAGTTTTCAAAAAGCCGTAAGACGTAACTTCTAACTTAGTTGTGAGCATTTTGATACTACTTAGCTAAAATTGTCTCAAATGTGGCATATTTTAAAGTCTTAACATATATTCTTTAATGATACATTGGATCTATAAGCTAAAATTTTAAATGCCAGCATCTAAATATTAATTTTTACACTTTTGTTTAAAAAGTAGCGTAGAAGTCAGTTGTTTCCAGGGATTACCCTGTGCTGTCATGCAGCACAGCTCCAGGGGGCCTTGCTTGAATCCGCATGAATGACGCCCCCTGGAGTTGTGCAATGGGTGTGGCTGCAAGTGCAAACTCTAACGCCAGGATCTGGGAATGAGAAAAAACATAGGGAAAGTGTAAGACAATAGTGCGAGGCCGGTGATAAATGGCCGACACCAAATCTCCAAATCAGGAGCGCGACAGGGAGAGGGGAGTCTGCAGCCAACCAGGAAGCACTTGCTCCGTCTGGAGCGGGTGGCTGACACAGGTGCCTTTGCCCAGGAGTGTGGGCTCACAGCAGCGAGCCGTTCTGACTTTTCAGGAGAAGCCATAAACCACACGTTTATGTGAAATCTCGTGATTTTTAAATATTGGCAACTAGTCCACATTGTGAAAAGCAAGGAACAGGCCGAACAAAGTCCTCTCTGCAGGTGGGTCCCCATGCCAGCCACCAGAAAGCCACCTCTGGTTAAGGCCACCATTTGTCTTTCCCTTTCCCCGTAACTCAGAGTGAAAAATGACCCGCACACATTGTGCCTGGTGGTAACAGAGGGGTCACCTCCCGGGAAGTTTTTATAAATAAGTGGGCCGTGGCTTCTGAGGAATCTGCAAAAGACATCTCAGTACACAAGTCAAGGCTTTGTAAGGCGGAGGACACAACTTTATTAGTTAAACCCATGGAACAGGACCTATGTAAATTGAGGAGGATTTGGTGTTAAGGTTAAAACAAATCATATGTGCTTAATTTTTTATCGATTGTAATGATTGAGCTTGAGTTCCATGGACAAGTAATTTCAATAAATCACATCTCCTGTGGATAAACAGGGCTGTTACTTCTAGAAGAACAGCTTGCAGACTTTTACTAGACTTTACTCTGTGGTTTCTTACTGACCCATCACAGATTAAGACTTAAAATTTGCAGATACGGACACCGGAACCCAAAGGTGACCTAATGCAGAGAGAGGACGCGAGGATCTGAAGTTGCCGACCAGGCTGCTCTTCCAGTGGGCAAAAATGATATTGTAGAGATGTTGAACAAAATGGTGTTTGTGGTATTATCAGAATTACACACCAATGTTGTGCCTGGGTCAGGTAAGGGGAGGTATTAGCTTCAAGAGAATTTTGCTACAAGAGTTTGAGATTCTAGACTGGAAAAAAGGAATGGTACCTTTCGAAGGGAGTTTGCACCGGCTGTGCTCGTCCTAATTCAGAAGAGACGGCATCCCCAGGGTGAGCACGGCGGCCGACCAGAGTACACCCACCCTCGGGGAGTGCTTGAGAACGAGTCTGAACCAGAAACGAACTCGGAAGTTTCAGTCAGGTTCCTGCCCCACCATGGCAGGAGATGGACCGTCTGGTGGGATGGTTCAGGTGCAGTCAAATCTCAAGGTCATCTGGGTTATGGAACCAAAGCTTCCGAAGGAAACTTGGGTCCCATTCCTGAGTGGGCTGCTGACTCCACCCATTAACAGGAGCCTTCCTGTCCACTCCTGAGCTGCTCTGTGGCTAGCTTGAGTAATGAGGGTGCCTTTGGATTTCCAGACTTCAGACCTGGGAGTGAGCAGAAAATGAGCCCACCCAGCCAGGAGGGTGTTACCTGCAGGCCTGTCGGTGAAGTGGGCTCCGGAGTCAGGGGGAAGCCCAAGTCCTGGCTCTGTGTCACTTCATAGCTCTGGGTCTCAATTTCGTCATCTAAAGGACAGGGATTATCACCCCTACTGCACAGGATTATTCTGAGGATTAAATTAGATCATGTAAATTAGAGGTGCTGGACTCGTACCTGCTACAGAGTAAGAGCCTACTATGCAGCAGCGGTTGATGCTACATAATCGGTTGTCTGATTTCCCAGCCTACTGCAGACTGGAGCCAGCAGATTAGAAAGGCCCGGGGACTGCTTCGGGAAGGCCCACTGACAGCGGGAAAAGGTGACAGGTCGCAGCCCGACTACAAGGGAGGCAAGAGAAAAACTATAAAAAGCAGGAACAAAAACTCAAAAGGCACAGCAGTCTGGGGCATTTACTAAAAGACAAAGAGCCCTCCTCAGGTCAGTAGCTTCCGGGAGACTCCGTACCTTGTACGGGACTCATGGTGACAGCAGTTGTGCGAATTACTTCTTTCTCCGTCCCCTTTCACCCCAAAATAGGTGTGGGGATGGGTCGCGGTTTGCCTTTCAGTGGAGATGCTCTAACCAAATGCTTCCAGGTCGTGCAGCCCCAAAGTCGAGGCCTGCAAAGGAGGAGAGACGACCGTGGGATCCTTTCGAGGTCTGAAAATAACAAGTTCAAGGACAGCCAAAGAGCTGTGATTTTTAGTGCTACAGATAGAAAGGTGCCCTTGCCCCGCTGACGCTCCTTCCACCTTCGCCTCTCAGAGCTGGAAGGGAGCCCCTGGGGACAGGCTTCCAGGTCCTGGCCTGTGGCACGGGGGGTGGGGGGTGGGAGAGGGAGAGGGAGAAGGAGAAGGGTGGGCTGCAGAGATGTCAGTCCCTTCCGATGCCGTTTCCACCCTGGTGTCCAGTCCGCCACCTGGGGTAGACGCTGTTTTTAATGGAAGCCTCGAGCTGCTCACCTGGAAGCAGGAGCTCAGGCCGAGGAAGGCAGGACAGACTCGAAGCGCCCGTAGGACATCCCTCAGCGTTAGTGGCAAGGCCAGGGACCGGGTAGGATTCGGGTCGAGAGTGCTCCTAGAGCCGTCCGAGGCCTGGGAGCGCCCTGGGGTGTGCTGAGCTGAGGACCCAAAAGCTCATTCCCAGCCCAGCTGGCGGGCCACCCCCTTGGTGGGGTTTGGCTCAGAAATGTACTGGGGATAAACCCACAAGCTGCTGATTTTCAGAGGGGGTAAGTGACACAGTGATCAGGACCACAGACTCCAGACCCAGCCAGGGGCTGAATCTCAGCACTGCTGCTTAACTGCGTTAAACCTCAGCCTGCCTCAGTTCCTCCACCCCTCAAATTGGGGGGAACGGCACCCGCTCATAGGATTGCTCTGGAATTAAGTCCATTAATACCTCTGAGGCACTTAGAGTATTGTCCCAGCGCATGGTAACCACTAGAGCTCCTCGAGCGTTACTGTTTCATCTCTGCAGCTGAGCAGGGCTGGGGACCGTGGGCGTGGACCACCGCGACCTGAACAGAATGCTCAGCGCTTCCGTGCACGCCACTAACCCTTTGCAGCAGGGACGTGGGCAAAAAAAAGTGGGGTTGGGAGCCACAGCAAAGAATTTTCCTTCTGTTAAAATAAGAGGGGACCCTATATTGTTAGAAACTGGACCATATTATGGCCAAGTGAGAAGTGCAATTTATTTTAGGGGAAACACGGTTTCCCTACCTATCGTGTGTTGCCGATACAGTACTTACTGACCAGCCACCCTAAAACTCTCGTGATCGGGTCTCTTTCTCTCCTTCATTCTCTCTCTCTTTTTCTTCCCAATGGTGTGGAACAGAGCTTGAATAATAAATATTTAACAGGGACATTCCCTTTTCTCTGTTAAAATAATCTTTGTTTCAGCACTTTAACAAGGAAGACAGTGTTTTCCCACCTCTGCTCTCATGTTACGCTGAAGCCAGGTCTCAGGAGGAAAAGAAAATAAGCGCAGGCCACGCGGGGAGGGCAGCAGTAGGCTGGGGGTTCTCCCCGGACAGCCCAGGGCCGGGAGCTCGTGTGCGCATATTCGCGTGGGTTCAGGTGCCGACCACGGGAAGTCAGAGGGCAGGGGGTGGCGGGGGACGAGAGCAGCTGCAAGACCACAGGGGGAAAGGAGTGGTTGTTAACAAAGATGGGACACTGGGTAGGGCCCGTCTTTCTCATGAAAAGTTTCCAGCAGACGTGCTGACTTCTGACGGTGGGAACTAGGCATTCGGGCACCTTGGAGATGCCGTGTCTAGCACATTGGGAAGATGCCACCAAGGAAATGTAGCCCATTGTGCTGGCCTTGAGGTTCCATCCACGGTGACTTGGACTTCTCGTTTATGTCTAGGAAAAATTCACACACTGTCGCTCGGGTGGGCAGAAACTTTATTTCTCTTTAACTAAACTGAACTCACTTACGAGCCTCCATTTAGACCAGTGGTGGAAACATCTTAATCTTTTTTCCATTTCTACTGTTGACCAGAAAAAAAAGTGAAAGAAAGAAAATTTAATCTTTTTTCCATTTCTTCTAATGGTGGAAAAAAACATAATCTTGCCATTTCAAGGTAACGTAGTCTCTTCCAATAGAGAGTGTAGACAATCCATTTGTTACTTAGGCGATCAGGATTTGAACACAATCAATTCCGAGCTGAAATTCCCATCAGGGCTCTTGGTTTTCTCAGAGGTTCTTGCCTCCCACCTGTCTACCCCAAGATGTTGCCTGAGTACAGGGGGATTTTATAGGTGAAGGGACTTCCTGCCACTGCTGGGGTGACTTGTCACAGGAGGCCTGGGGCTGGGCTGGGATCTGCTGACATCTGTGGCCAAGCCTCCTCCACCTCTGGGTTGCCAAATCTATGCATTCCAGCCCTGCGTAACCACCCTCAGGCCACCTCTGGCCTCACCAGCCTCTCAGAGCACTTCCTCACCTCCTGCTGGGACTGGGGGGGTCTGTTCTCAGTTCGTGGGAGCCAGGGGCTCTCAGGCCCCCCTGCTTCATTCTAGCACCCCACCATTTCCACTGAACTGCAGCCGCCGTGCGGGTGCAGAGTGCATGGGGAGCCTGCTCTCTCGGTGCCAGCAGCAGGTAGGGCCTAAGCCCCGGCCCCAGAATGAGATCCGGGAGCGGTTCAGCCTTCTTGCCCACTCTCTTCTTTCTCCAGGCCCCTTCGCCGTTCCCTGCCTCCAGGAAGAACTTCTATCTCTTCTCTGGGTGGCAGGAAACAGCCCCTTCCTTTCCACGGCTTGTAATAAAATCTCTAGGCTCTGAGTTCTTCAGGCTCTGGTTCCTTGGAACCCAGTAGTTTCTCTCTCTCGCTCGCTCTCTTTCAAATCTCATAAAAGCCTACCTGGCTCTGGCACGAAAGCCTGAAAGCCTTGGCTTTCACAACATTTTACAACTGCAGTAGCATCATTTTGGAACTTAAAAGCTAAACATTGACAGCTTTGTTCATGTCCATGTCCACCCTCCCGCTCGAGGAAAGGAGGCCACAGCTCACTGGGTTGAGGGCCCTAGGCAACAAAAATGACCCAGAATGAAGAATGCGCCGATATTTCAGAATATCATCCTGCTGCAGGTATAGTTCCGGACGGCCCGTCCCAGCTCCGGCTCGTGTGGCTTCATCAAGGGCCGGCCTGCTGAGAACCACGCTCAGCGCTGTGCGCAGTGTGGCGGGCGTGAGCGCCAGGTGCCATACTGGAATCAGGGAGCTCCAATGCAGGTCTCCCCACTGCGTGCTCCGGGAGAGGTGCCCTGTCATGGGCTTATTTGCTGATGGAGTGTGACGTGAGCGCTGGTCTCTTTCCAGCTCTCAGAATATCAAAGTGGGCAACGTGGCAGCGGTCCCTTGCCCAGAATGAATGAAGTGAGAAGTGAGTCATGTGTCTTCTCCCCGATTTGTTCAGTGTGTGTGCAGACAGCGCACATGTGTGCACACGTAGGTGGTGGCCTTGGACAAGTGTATGCCTGCCATTTGCTATGGATTTTGGTCTTTGCTTATAGAGTAAACGGGAGGGACCCTGTAGTCAGTGTGGCAGCCTACACAATGTCTTGGCAAGCTCAGCTATGTCATAGATCATGTAAGAGGTGACATGGAGCAAGGAGGGTCATGGCTTGGGGTCTGGAGCCCTGTGTCTCATTCTGGCTGGACAGTAGCCCTGGAGCGCGGCCACTGTGACCTCTCAGAGGCATTTCTACCTCCTCTTGGAAAGGGGCGGGTTCATGGAGGACTGCCAGGTTCAGTTCCAGCGTTAACACTGTGTTCAAGGAAATGCTTCCCGAGACACCATGTGGTTTGGCACTCAACTCCTTCTCTGCTAAAAACTGGTAGTGGGAGAAATGCTAAGAGAATACTAATCATTTTTATAATCCACATTAAACAGTTATACATTAATAAAATTGACTTTGACTCATGGCTCAAGTTGCTGTGAGTGTGCGTGCCCAGCCCCTGCCTGCCTGCCCAGATGTGCACGGAACGGCCGGAGCAAAATGAAAGTTCTGCATTGTAAACACTCTGGTCCCCAGTGCTTTGTCTGAAATCATCGCATGTTATTCTGTTCAATTCGAAATAATGAACTAAGCCCCAATATTTGAATCCTTCTACTTCCCAATGTTCCTCATTATGGCAGGAAGAATATGCAAACTTGGGCAGGGGTTGGGGGCCTGTCACGAAAGGAGCCATCAGATGCTAGAAACATCAGGTAGATCCTAGAGGTCGTACTGCAGGTGGGTCCAGATTTTAAAAGGCCGACCTACCTGTAAGTCAACACACGCAAGGAGCAGCCTCCCTGCAGAGGAAAGAGAACCCGCCACCACCCCCTTCCCCGTCTCCAGCCGAGACGCCGCAGCACTTCCACGCTCTGGGAAGAGAAAACGGAGGCAGCAGAGTCCGTTGCGTTGGTGGGTCTCGGCCTCGCCTGGACATTGGAAGGACCTGGGGAACTTAAAAAATACTGATGTCGGGTCCCATGGCCAGAGCCTCTGGTTTAATTGGTTTGGGGTTCAACCTGGGCGGTGGCTGTTTCTGTGCCCCCAAGTTGAGAACCGCTGCCTTAGGACCGCAGTACGACCTGGGGAACTTCACTGGTGAAAGCTCCTTGGTGGGTCCAGGCTTGGCGCTTGCTCCCACCAGGCATGGCCGAAGTGCCGAGGAGGGTCTAGCAGTCGGGTGGCGCTCGAGGAGTCCCGCGTCAGTCAGAGAGGTGGGCGCCACTCGGTGAATTTCAAGCTGTGGAAACAAATAGAATATAATCCCTCTCATAGCAGAACTCCCCTGCCCCAGCTCTTTGCTCCCTCCGCCACAGTGCTGCCACCTCCCTGCCCCTCCCCAGGACAAGAGTGCTTCTCAGTGGACCAGCCGCAGAAATACCCAAATTGACTTTCTCTTCTTCCTTGGAGCTAAAAGACGTGGTGAGGAAGGAACATAACCTCCAGGCAAACATGTTTCAACTCTCGCTTGAAGTCCAGAGGGAAAAAAAGTGTTTCATAATCATATAAAATGGAAAACATCAAATAGGATGGCAGGAGTAAGATCAAATAGGTCAGAGATTTCAGTCACGGGGAAGGATCGCGCCCTTCTGAAAGGCCAGGTCCCGCAGGGCTGGCCGGGGCCGGCTCTGGGGCGCTACTTCCCCTGCCTTCTCCAGACCCAGTTCTGCTGGCGTTGGCGGCAGAATGGAACCTGGAAGAGCCTTTTGCGTAAGCAGCAGCTATGGATGGTGTGGGACTTGCCTGATCTCCTTTTGGATGGCTTGGTCCTGTCTACTGTGATGGCCTCTCTCCGTGGTGGTCCCCATGGACATGGCGTGCGCGGTTTCCGGCAGTGGGGTTAGCTCCTTCCAGCCCCATCTTTAGAGACACTCACATCTCCCTTTGGCCTCCTCAGTGGTCCATGCCCCCAGCCTCTTCTGGGTGGGACATCATCTCACTTAGCCAGGAGGCTACCTGGGCATCCCCTCAGCCCACCTTTGGCTCCTTTTCGTGAAACTGTGGGAACTGCTGAGGTCCTTTAGGGGTTGTAGAGAACTGCGGTGAGGTGGCCCTGTGTCCTCCCAAGACACACTTGTCCTAAGGCATTGTCCTAAGCTATCCTGGAAAGCACCCGTCAGAAATCCATAGGTCTAGTTTGGGGCAGGTTTTTCTTTTTCTTCAAATCTTCAAGATGTGAATATGTTAGAAAATAGAAAGAGAAGAAATGTTCATTTTTTTTAAATAAAGCTACCTTCCGTCTGATACCAAAACCTAACCGGAATACAAAAACAAAATCTCACTTTTAAATACAGATGCAAAAACCTTAAATATAGTAACAAACTCAATCTAGCCATAGAATAAAAGCATAATATGTGGACCAGTGTGGTTCTTTCACGTGGTCACTCATTCAGAAAAAAAAAAATCTCCTAAAATTAATCTTATTAATAATCAAAGAATAAAAGAGCATGATCCAGTCAAAACTGAAAAGAGATTTTTGTGGGAGAACTTGATAAGTTGATAGTAAAGTTTACCTAATTAAATGATTTCATGAGAATAGCTAGGAAATTTTGAAATAGAAGAGCAATGACTAGGAGCTTGTTTTACTGGTTATTAACATTTGTTTTAAAGCTACAATATTTAACACGATACAGTTCTGTGACCGAAATAAATCAGCGGAACAAAATAGAAAATCCTAAAATAGATCCAAGTGCCCATGATAATTAATTATATGACAGAGATAAAAATAGTATTTGAAATCGGGGGAGAGGGGATGAATTATTTAATAAATTACGTTGGTATAACAGCTTAAGCATTAGATCCTTACTTCTTTTTGCCAAAATCCAAATGGATTAAAAATAAAAGTTCTAACATGAAAAAAAATTAAAGTACCGGAATAAAATTTAGTTGAATATTTATATATGATCTTGGGGAATACACCATGAATGAAAAGTTTGGGTAATCTGACTGCTTATACTGTTTTGAATTTCTGTACAGATGCCAAAACCAAACAGAAACCCCACTTCCTGCCCCATTGCCAGCACAAACTCCAAAAACAAAATGAAAAAAGAAAAAGATAACTGGGAATAATGTTTGTACCAAACGTGACAGATAAAGCACAAATATTTGTAGATAAAAGGCTACTAAAATTTTTAAGAAAATGATAGAAAAATGAATTGACGGTAAATGTCAACTGTCTTGGAAAAAATTCATGTCCTGTGACCATCAAATCTCTTTCTAGGAATTTATCCTCAGGAATTATTTGTGCACATGTGTAGATATTTATGTGTAAGCTATTTTTCAAAGAGAAGGAGACAGAAGGAAGAAATGAAGAAAGGAAGAGAGAAGGGAGGAACGAAGGAAAGAAGGAAGAAAAAGAAGAAAGGGCCTTCACCGTCCAATAGGAGATTAGTTAGCGGAATGTTTTTATGTCGTTAGAGTTAACAGCCGGCCAGTCACTAAAAGTAATCTGGGAGGATGTTCACAATAGCATGTACAAGAAGATTCTTTTATAAAAACAACTAGATGTAAATATATGCACAAATTCATAAAGACTTCTGGAATCCGATAGCTTCACATTGGTTATCTCTGGGTTAATGGGTTACAGCTTTTTCTCCATTTTGCATGCATTTTCTTTTCTCTTACAATTACCATGTTTTTTAGCTTTTTTTTTTTTTTTGAGACAGAGTCTCACTGTGTTGCCGGGGCTAGAGTGCCGTGGCATCAGCCTAGCTCACAGCAACCTCAGACTCCTGGGCTCAAGCGACCCTCCTGCCTCAGCCTCCCGAGTAGCTGGGACTACAAGCATGCGCCACCATGTCCGGCTAATTTTTTCTATATATTTTTAGTTGTCCAGTTAATTTCTTTCTATTTTTAGTAGAGACGGGGTCTCGCTCTCGCTCAGGCTGGTCTCAAACTCCTGAGCTCAAATGATCCACCCGGCTCGGCCTCCCAGAGAGCTAGGATTACAGGCGTGAGCCACCGCGCCCGGCCCATGTTTTTTAGCTTTGAAAAAAAACTTTGTAATGTTATTCTGGGAACCCCAGGCTTGGTATAATAAGGGACGTCATGACGTTCCTGGGACGTCAGACTGGTCTGTAAATGTTCTGCTCTGTCCTGGCCTGGTTCCTCTCCTCCTGCCCCACGTCCTGCCACGGCCTGGCTCCTGGTCACCAGCTCTGCGAGATCTCTCTGACCACCAAGGGCCTCCCTTCTCCTCAGAGCTGCGAGCCAGGAGTGATGCCCTCTCATGTTTGTTCTTTAAATGTTCCCCTGTGTTACCCAGTCTCCCTGGAGAGCCCGGGAGCTCCCTGAGGGCGGGTCTGGGCCGTGTGGTTCCCCCTCCTCTCTCAGGGCTCCGCAGCACAAGCAGGAGACGGCTGGGCCTGGGGCTCTGCCCGGGAGCACTGCGGACAGACGCCGGGCCCAGGAAGTCGGCGAGGGCAGTGGGCAGAGCCAGAGACCACAGACAGCTCGGGGAGCTGGGTGGAGCCGGCCTTGCCGTGGGAAGGAAGCCGGGGCCGGCTGTTAATGGTCTCCAAACTTCTCCACATTTCCAGTTTCCCTTGGCTAACTTTCGTGTTAACCTGTACTTTTTGTCTCCATATCGTGCGGACAGGTTCTAACGTTCCCATGGACCAGCCCTGCTGCCGTGGTCTCTATGACTTTGAGCCAGAAAACCAAGGAGAATTAGGATTTAAAGAAGGGGACATCATTACGTTAACCAATCAGATAGATGAAAACTGGTATGAAGGAATGATACACGGGGAGTCTGGATTCTTCCCCATTAACTATGTTGAAGTGATCGTGCCTTTACCTCAGTAAACGTGTAACAAAAACTGTGGACATCCTTTCATAACTGAAACGAATTCACGCCGGTGTTCCCTCAGTGTGTTCTGTGACGTCCTTGCTCTCTGACCAACTTAATGACTTTTGTATGTGTGTTCTCTTTATAATGTATTTTGTATCGATTTAATTTGTATAAATGATGTTCTTGCCCTAGCTACATGAAAATATAGTTTTCTTTTTTGCTTATTCTCCTAAAAGTCATTGGTTAAATGTATGTGCTTCCTGTTGCTAAAAATAAACCACACCCACTGCAGTTATGATGTCAGCCAGTTGCCTATATTCCTCGGCTGCAGTGGAATGCAAAGTCTGAAACTAAGAAATGCTCAATATTTTGTTTCTTGACATTACTGATGGCATCTGGTCTTTTCCCTTCATTGTATTTTGAGCTTACCTGTGAATAGCCCCAATAAACATGACACTGTGTTGGCAAAAGGCCTTGATTATTTTTAATGTCGAATTGAGTTTTAAGCACAGCCTTCCATCTGCAGACCCTCCCAGGCCAGACGGCTGACCGGAGGCTCACAGCACGGATCTTAGGTGGTAGCTCCTGATCGACGTCAGCGGGCGTGAGCTGGGCCTTCAGTTTCCACCTGAAACGGTTGGGGGACAGAAAACCCTTCCACCTACTTTCAGGTTTTATAGATGAGCCCAACTCAAGCTTCTGCTGCTGCCAAATACTGGGTAGGCTTTTCGAGCAGGTCCTGTTACGCATGCTGAGGAAGCAGCGTGGTCACTCGGGGTCAGTGCGCCAGCACCGGCCTTGCCCAGCGCATGCACTTGTCACGTGCTTTGGCCCACTGGGGTCCACGACATTCCAGTTATGGGGGAGGGGCAGGCATTAGTTCCCATTTGCAAAGAGTGAGGCTCACTGAATGGCTTGCCCAGGATCACACGACCAGGGACAGGCATACCTCAGAGATACGGCAGGTTCAGTTCCAGACCATGACAAGCCAATATGGCAATAAGACAAGTCACACAAATTTTGGGGGTTTCCCAGTGCATATAAAAGTTATGTTTACACTATGCTATAGTCCATTAAATGTGTGATAAAAATGTACATGCCTGAATTAAAAAACACTTTATTACTGAAAAATGCTAACGATTATCTGAGCCTTCAGTGAGTTACAATCTTTTGGCTGGTGGAAGGACTCGCCCAGATAGTGGTGGCTGCTGACCGACCAGGGTGCCGGTTGCTGAAGGTGACTGTGGCAATTTCAACAATGAAGTTTGCTGCATCGATTGACTCCTCCTTTTACGAAAGATTTCCCTGCAGCCTGCCATGCTGCTTGATAGCATTTTACCCACAGAACTACTTCCAAAATTGGGGTCTCCTCTGAAATTCTGCTGTTGCTTTATGAACTAAGTTGACGTCATATTCTAAATCCTTTGCTGCCATTTACCAGCATCTTCACCAGGAGTAGATCCATCTCAAGAAACCACTTTCTTCACTCATGCGTAAGAAGCAACTCCTCATGATGAGATTTTCATGAGTTTTATCACGAGATTGCAGCGATTCAGTCACATCTTCAGGCTCCACTTCTGATTCTGGTTCTCCTGCTCTTTCCACCTCATCTGCAGTTCTTTCCTCCACCGAAGTCTTGAACCCTTCAAAGTCATCCACCGTGGCTGAAATCAACTTCTTCCAAACTCCTGTTAATGTGCGTAGTTTGATCTCCTCTCATGAATCATGGATTTTCTTAATGGCATTTAGAATGGTGAATCCTTTTCAGAAGGTTTTCAATTTACTTTGCCCAGATCCGTCAAAGGAATTACCACCTATGTATACAAAATACATTTTCTATTTCTTAAATAGTAAGACTTGGAAGTCGGCATCATTCCTTGATCCATGGGCTGCAGAAGGGGTGTTGTGTTAGCAGGCATGAAAACGTTAATCTCCTTGTACATCTCCATCAGAACTCTTGGCTGATGAGGTGCACTGTCAGCAGAAATGTTTTGAAAGGATCTTTCTCTGAGCAGTAGGTCTCAACAGTGGGCTTAAAATAGTCAGTACACTACGCCGTGAACAGCAGTGCCGTCATCGGGGCTTTGTCCCACTGATGCAGCACAGGCAGAGGTAGATTTAGCATAATTCTTAAGGGCCCTAGAATTTGTGGAATGGAAAATGAGCACTGGCTTCAAGTTAAAGTGACCAGCCACATTAGTCCCTGACAAGAGTCAGCCTGTCTTTTGAAGATTTGAAGCCAGGCACTGACTTCTCTGTAACTGTTAAAGTCTTAGGTGGCTCCTTCTCCCAATAGCCTGTAGTGTACGTTGTTCAGTGCAGCCACCTACGTCAGTGATCTGAGCGAAATCTTCTAGATCACTTGCTACGGCACTTGCTGCTTCACCTTGCGCTTTTATGTGATGGAAACGGCTTCTTTACTTAAACCTCATGAACCAACTTCTGACAGCTTCAGACTTTTCTTCTGCAGCTTCCTCACCTCTCTCAGTCTTCATAGAATTGAAGAGATTTACGGCCTTGCTCTGGATTAGGCTTTGGCTTAAGGCAACGTTGTGGCTGGTTTGATCTGCCATGCAGACCACTAAATCTCTACACCGGCAAAAGGCTGTTTCGCTTTCTTATCATTCCCGTGTTCACTGGAGCAGCACTTTTAATTTCCTTGAAGCACTTTTCCTTTGCATTCACAACGCACCTACTGGCACAAGAGGCCCAGCTTTCGTCCTGGTTCAGCTTTAGACGGGCCTCCCTCACCAAGCTTAATCATTTCTAGCTTTTGATTTCAGGCGAGAGGCACACAACTCTTCTTATACTTGAATGCTTAGAAACCACTAAGTGGCCTGATTTCAATATTGTTGTCTCAGGGACTAGGGAGGCCCCAGGAGAGGGAGAGAGGATGGCTGGTCTGTGGACACAGCATGGATTGATCAAGTTCACCGTCTGACACGGGCGTGGTTCGTAGTGCCCCCAAACAGCTGCAACAGTAACATCGAAGATCAGCGATCATGGGTCGCAATAACAGATACAATGAAAAAGTTTGAACTATCGCGAGAATTGCCAAAATGTGACACAGAGACAGGAAGTGAGCACAGGCTGTCGGAAGAACGGTGTGGACAGACTTGCTTGAGGTGGGGCTGCCACAAACCTTCAATTCGTAAAAAGCGCCATGTCTGTGAAGTGCAGTGGAACCAGGCCGAGTTCCAGCTCGACTGTCTGCTGCACCCCACTGCCCACGTAAGCGTCACCCCAGTCGCTTGGAAGTGCGCCGCTGTTCACGGATGTTTGTAACAAATACCTGAAACAGGTGGCCTGAGCCAGGCTTCCCCGTATTCTGAGTCCACGGCATGTCGGTGAATTCATGACAACGCGCTTTCGCTCCGGCCGCTACACACACCTTCTCAGATCAGTTGTACGTTCAGCGCTTACAGTAATACGATAAAAGTAGCTGACACTTGTGTGCGCGCCCTGTGCCAGGCGCCGTTCCAGGCACTTTATGTGAATAAACAACACTTGGGGTGGACCCTGTGCCCGTTTTTCAGACAAGGGAACCGAGGCGCAGCCAGGCTGAGTCCCCTGTCCACAGTCACACAGTTATTACGTGGCAGGGCGGGATCCTAGCCCAATCTTCCCCCCACACCCAAGGGCCTCACTGTCCCCTACGCTACTTCTCAGGACGCGTGTTTGGCCACAGACGTTCACAAAGTCACCCTTTTCCGTGCCTTGTCAGCTTTTATTCTCCAGTAGTCACATGAGAAATTTACCAAAGGGAAGGGAAAATTCAGGACCACTTTCATTGCCTGTGATACACTTTGATATCTTGTTTGGGAAATAAACAGTCACTGAAGCTATAGGTTAAACTACAGTGATAAGCACAAAAAAAAAAAAAAGAGAAAAGAAAAGTAAAAAAAACCAAAAAGTTTAGCAGTTTCATTAGATTACTCCCAAGGAGTGCAAGTGGGACTTGTCAGCTGACGGCCACGAAGAGGAGACCCAACGATGACGACCTGGTGTGAGTGGACGTGTCTAGTTACGAGTCCTTCCCCTGGTTAGTGGCCTCAGCTTACAGCAGGATCCAGCCCCACAGAGTCCCCAACCAGATGGCGTCACACACATCTGGTCGGTCACAACGTGGCACCAGCCACTGTCTTCCCTTCACCCGGCTCTTCTACGCACAGTTCCGTCGTGTCTGCGCCACGTTTCCGGGCATCCGCTCTCCCCCTGGCCGTGCCGATGGGCACCGACCGCCAGCACCGGCTGAGCATCACTCCTGAGGCCGTGGAGCCGTTGACGCGCCAAAGCACCACCGGATTCTACTGGGAAAGGCAGAAGAATTCCACGGCTGCTGCCGGGGCCGCCTCCTGTCAGTAAGATCCCAAAGCAAGGCGATCTATGTTCCACTGTCTCACCAAGGTTAGTACAATAACTCTGTCGGTGCTGCCTGAAGTCTGTCCTCTCCATAGGTTTCGAGTGTGAGTCCAGAAAGAAGCCAGACCAGGAGATGAATATGAGTGGCAGATGCCATCAAATCTTAACCTTCCTCTGATGATGAGATTGTGTTACTGTCACGTATTGCCACACACTGCTGTGTAACAAGCCGCCCCCAAATCAGTGACTTAACATAATTCATACTTACCCAGCTCGCAAGTCTGCAGGTTGGTGATTCCGTCTGGGCAGTTCTTCAGGTCTCAGCTGGGCTCACACACAGGGCTGGGGGACAGCTGGCTGTTGGCCGGGGCCTCACAGATCTGGAGGTTCACTGGAGTGACTCAGTTCTGTTCCACGTGTCCCCCTCCAGCAGGTGAGCCTGGGCATGTTCTCGTGGTGAAGGCAGAGCTGCGAAAGCCTCCTACCCTCACCCCCCCAATCCCCTCTCATGTCTTGCTACAGAGGCAAATGGATTGGGCCCCCTAGACTCCCCTAGGGTCTGTCCTTATGAGACCGTGCCGGGTCGCGTGCATGGTCTTGACCCCAGTGAATAACTTGGTTTTGACCAAACCTCCCCCCAGGGCACTGAGCAGGCCCAGCTACAGTCTGACCAGCGGGCGACACCGAGGGTTGGTCTGAAGGGGCTGACAAGGGGGAGTAGGATCCTACTTGACACAGGTGACAATACAAAAAGCAGGAAGGAAGAATAAGAAGTCACGTCCATAAGAAACAAGAAGGGTTCAGCTAATGAAGACAAATATTAAAATCGAGGCTACTTCCAGAGGCAGAAACAGAAACAATTAAACAGATGTCAGAGCACAGAGTCAGGGGAGTGATTGGGGGTCAATGAAGTGGGTCTAGCAGAAAGGTGCACTGGTGTTTTAACATGCTGAATCACTGGGCCCAGTTCCTCTGACGTGAAGATTCTTCTCTGCTTCAGAGGTGAGCCACGGGGAGGGGTCTAGGAATCAAAATCTAGAATGTTACGGCTCCTTTAAGAAAAGTTGTTCCAACTTTGCAGATTGTGCTAGGACCAAGGGGTCCTGGG